AGAGAGAGAGAGAGAGAGAGAGAGAGAGAGAGAGAGAGAGAGAGATGAGCGATACAAGTTTGGTTGTCACTTACCTGTGAAGCGAGCTGTGCAGTGGGAAGGAAGGGGGAGAAGAAGACAAGGGTGGCGAAGAGGAAGGTGCCGGCAGCCATAGCCGAGGTGGAGAGTTGACCGGAGGGTTGACCGGACGTTGACCGGAAGGTTGACCGGCGCTGTTGACCAAGACTTTGACCAAGCTGGAGTTGGTAATATCTCGCCAAGCCCTAGCCTACCCCCTCACCCTGTGGATGTGCACTCACCCTGTGGATGTGCACTCACCCTGTGGATGTGCACTCACCCTGCGGTACTTGCTGAGTCTGAGTCTGTCTGTCTCTTCTCTCTGCATTGAGTCTCTTCTGTCCTAAGTGGTAGTACTCTGTGGATGAGGGATAGGGCCTGGATGACGAAACCCCTACCTGACCTTGTAGAGCTAATACCGAGTCTAATCTCACTGTCCCGGAGGCCTAACCCTCCCAAGGACCGGTGCTGACCGGCGGGGCTCAGATTGGGCGTGACACGGTGGGCTTGAACGGCAGCTGTGGGCTGACACACCAGGCAGTCTTAAGTATTGAGGGCCTTGTTGACCCAAACCCCTACCGAATCTAGTAAGGCTAAAGGCCGTGTCTGACGACTCGACTGTCCCGGGGGACACGAACCCTCCCAAGGACCGGTACAGACTGGCGGGCTGCTCGGTGTGGCACGGTAGGCCCGAAAGGCTGAGTTGTGGGCTGATGCAACAGGCAAAACCAAGCTGATCACGTCGTCCTGACTGCGACGTTAAAAAATTCTTGCGGAGCTACGGGGGATCTCCTTAAATGCCTCCTGATCAGCCACTGGTTCAGTAGTGACAACCATAGTGTAGGTCTAGGCTAGCGACCATAGCTGACAGGGTTCTATACGAACCCTATGGTCCTTAGAGAGTCAGTTAGTCAGTGGTTTGGGTAGGTCTACGTGGTGAGGAGTGGGACATTGTCGTGCACATGAACACTATGGACGACTACCCCATGTACGGTTTGCTTGTGGGATTCTCCCTTTGGGGGACCCTTTGGCGTTTCATTTTCCCATTGGGATTCCGGAACACATTTTCGTGTAGGGTAGAGACCAAGGGTGGTACGACCACCCACCCCTACACACCTGAAGAAGAGGCCAAGGCCGCCGCAATCCTGAAGGAGAGGAGAGAGAAGAAGGAGGCCAAGAAGAAGGCCTTGTTGGAGCAACGGGCGGCGAAACTGAAGAAGATAGAGGAGGAGATGGCCAGAGAGAAGGAGAGGCTGAAGAAAGAAGAAGAAGGGAAGTTAAAGGAAGTTGAAGAGGAAGAAGAAGAAGTAGAAGAGGAGCCACTGGAGAGAGGAAGGAGAGGTAACAGAGGGGAGTCCAGTGAGACAAAGGAGGACCTGATGGAGAAAAAGATTTCAGAGTGGGTTGCAGGACTGACCCTGGGAGAGGATGAGGAGGCGCTAATGTATGTGCCCAGGGACGAGCAGGAGGCGGCCGTGCGAGAGTGGGAAGCTGAAAGTGATCCACTCAAGCGACAAGTATTAGAAGATGAGAAGAGGATGGAGTGGAAGTTCCGCCTCACTAGGGAGAGGAAGAGGAGAATGGAGGCGGCAACAGAGGCGGCAGTGGAGTTGGAAGAGATCCGGAAGCAGAGGGATCAGATGGCGGTCCAAGTGGATTTATTGGGGAAAGTAGAGATCCTGGCCAAGAACGTGGAACGCCTGGTGAAGGTCCAGGAGGAGCAACTTTTATTTGGGAGAGGTCAGGACATTGCCGTGCATTCGATACGGTCGGGACTTAGGGACTTTGCTCCGGAGTTGGCCATGCAGGTGGGCTTGCATGTGACAGCCCGCCTCGAGGGCACGAAACGATACTGTGTTGGTGCCATTGAGGGCGCCAAGCTGACTGCCCCAAAGGAAGAAGAAGCACGCCCCCGTAGAGAGCCGGTCAAAGTGAAGTTTCCTGATTCCTACAGTGGAAAGAAGGAAGAAAACTTTGACAATTGGGAGGCCAACGTTAAAACGTACGTGCACCTGCAGAAAGTGTCCCCCGATGAACAGATCCTAATCGTCATCCATGCGTTGAAGGAAGAAGTCGCCAGTTTTGCACGCTCCTTAGTCCGCGCTGCTAACTGCAGCGATGATGTGGTTGCCTACCCTGCGTTCACCCCTCTCACGGACTTTCTTAAGTTGCTGTGCGCACGATTTGCAGATGTCTCGCGCAGCATCAGAGCCTCTGACCGATTGCAAACTATCCACTCTCGTCAATGGAGGAGTGCCAAGGCACTCAAGGGAGTAATGGACGAGTTAGTGGCTACCCCTGACCATGGAGTCACAGAGACCCAACTGGTCAACCTCTTCTATCAGGCTATGCCCGAGTCGTTGCGTGGGAACTTCTTTGAGAAGAGTCAGCAACCCACCATGACCTACGACGCATTGAGCAGGGAAGTGGTGGCATTTGAAGCGAAGTCTGCGTCGGTTTCCACTTTCTGGCACAAGGATTTGGACAAGGGAAAAAGGTGGAAGGGTCGCACTATCTCAGGGCAGGTGAAGACAAAGGATAGCCTGATCCTTACCTTAGATGAGGGTAGTGTCGACGAGATCCCCTACGATCAGATAGAGTGGGGACTCGAGGGAGATGACAGTAGTAGTAGTCAGGGGAGGACCTACGCTGCTGTCGCGGCCGGAAGGAGGCCGCAAGGAGGAGGACGGGGCCAGGGCCAAGGGGGCCGGGCCTCAGGGAACCGTTCTCAGGGCGATCAGGGGGTTGGCGGCAGAGGAGGAAACCGCCAAGCGGGAGGAAGGGGTCAAGGTCCCCCGCAAAACCGGTCTGGGAATAGGTCCCCTTATAGGAGAAGTGGATGGCACCCAGGGCTGCCACAAGGCAGACCTTGGGAAGATCAGGGCCTGGACCAGCGCTTATGGCAACATCGTGTGAACCAGGGGCAGTGCATCTACTGCAGTGACCATGGCCACATCATCAAATATTGTCCGAAGTATAGGGAGGCTCATTGGGCTGCCCAGGAAGCAAAAGGTAGCCGCTGGTAGGGGTAGCAACTGCCTCTACCATAGGGCCATGTGGAGATGAGTCAGCAAGCCGGCACGAATCTCCCAAACCACATGAGCCCATGACAGAAGTTGTAGGCCGGTGCCTAGATAGCTGCCCAGAGACTGCGTGTGTTAGAGTCTCTCTAGGCACTTCCCTCACAGGCGTGGCAGAGGAATTGAAGGAGAGAATGCCCGCCTGGGCCAAGATGAGGAAAGAGAATAGGGGGCAGCTCATATTAGTAGATACAGAGATCTTTAGAGGACGAGTTGGCGCCTTAGTGGATAGTGGAGCCACTCGCAAGTATATTAGTAGGAAGGCACTGCAGAAGCTGAAGTTGCAGTTGAAAGTCCAACGACTAGCAGACCCCATAGTAAGTATCCTCGCAGACAATCGCACCATGCGAGTAGAGGAGTACGTAGAGGGAGTCCAAGCATATTTCCACCTAGAACAGGATGGGAAGGTGGAGAAAGTTTTTTCATTCCCTGACTCTCCTCGTAGAGGATAGCCTCCCGTTTGACATAGTCCTGGGTATGGACTGGGGAGAGGCAGCAAGGGTCACACTCCACTTGAGAGAGCACGAGTGTAGGCTCCCTAGTCCATCAGGCGGTGTCAAGACTGCCCGTCTGTTTCATGTGTCAGGAGTAGACAACTCCCTGACACATTGCTGCCTCAGCGCTCCTGCATTCGCAAGGCTAGTGAAAAAGGAGCAGCTAGAGGAACAGGTTTTTGTAGCCTATGTTAGGCCAGTCACTGAGCCTAAGGAAAAGAAGCCTATAGACCCTGCTATTGCCAAGCTGCTGGAAGAATTCACCGACTTAGCAAAGCCGCCGACAGGAGTAGTGCCGCGGCCTATCCAGCACCGCATTGAGATTGAGCCTGGCAGTAGGACCCCCAAGGGAGCAGTGTATAGGATGTCCCCGCGGGAGTTAGAGGAGTTGCGCAAGCAATTAGACGAACTCCTAGAGAAGGGTTGGATTAGGCCCAGTTCGTCTCCATTTGGAACACCTGTTCTATTTGTCCCCAAGAAGGAGGGAGAGCTTAGGATGTGTATAGACTACAAGGGTCTGAATGCTATCACAGTAAAGAATGCTGAGCCACTGCCTAGGATAGATGATCTTCTAGATCGAGTGCAGGGGTGCAGATATTTTACGAAGATAGATCTAAAGTCCGGATATCATCAGATAGAGGTTCATCCTGATGATCAGTACAAGACAGCTTTCCGGACCAGATACGGGCACTATGAGTTCATCGTGATGCCCTTTGGACTAACCAACGCGCTAGCGACTTTCCAGCGATGTATTAATGATTTGTTTAGGCCGTGGTTAGATAGGTTTGTTGTAGTTTACTTGGATGATATCCTAGTGTTTAGTAAGACCCCCCAAGAGCATCAGGGTCATCTCAGGCAGGTCTTGGAGAAGCTGCGAGAAGCTAACTTCAAGATCAACGCAAAGAAGTGTGAATGGGTGAAAACCCAAGTGTTGTATTTGGGCCACGTCTTAGACGGAGACGGCATCAAGCCAGAGGATAGTAAGATTGCAGCGATCAGGGATTGGCCTACACCGCGTACGTTGACCGAGTTGCAGTCGTTCTTAGGCCTAGCAAACTATTATAGGAAGTTCGTAAGGAGCTTCTTCACTATCGCTGCGCCCCTTCGCAGACTGCTAAGGAAAGAGACCATCTGGAAGTGGGACAAGGACTGCACGTCTGCTATGAAGAAGTTGAAGCAGGCACTCATAGAGTATCCAGTCCTTAAGGTGGCCGATCCGTCCTTACCCTTTGTCGTCACTATGGACGCTAAACAGTACGGCATAGGTGCTGTTTTGCAGCAAGACGATGGCAATGGTTATAGGCCCGTAGAGTTCATGTCTGCTAGGATGCCTTCAGAGAAGGTTGCGACATCTACCTATGAGAGGGAACTCTACGCTCTTAGGTAAGTGCTAGAACACTGGAAGCATTACTTGCTTGGGAGGCATTTCAAAGTCTATTCCGACCACGAAACGTTGCAATGGTTAAAGACGCAGGCCAAGATGACACCTAAGCTTACCAGGTGGGCCGCAGAAATAGACCAATACGATTTTGAGCTCAAGCTAGTCAAGGGTAAATATAACGTAGTTGCGGACGCTCTGAGTAGGAGAGCTAACTACTTTGGAGCGATAGTTCACTATCTGGACATAGGGAAAGACCTGTAGGAAAGAGTTAAAGAAGCATATGCGCAGGACCCTATCTATAGTGACCTCCTCAAGCGAGTAAAGGAGGCCCCAGAGACCGAGCTTGATTACCGCACTACTAACGGACTGTTATTTGAGAAGACTAATGTAGTTGACCGCCTGTGCATTCCCAACAGTGAGGAGATCCGTAGTCTGATCTTAGGAGAATGTCACGACACAGAGGGTCATTTTGGTTGGCAAAAGACTCTAGCCAATCTAATGCACGCGTACACCTGGCCAGGAATGAAGAATGACTGCATAGAGTATGTCCGCAGTTGTAAAGTTTGTCAGCGGAATAAGACTACTATGCGTGCCCCGTTAGGTCTTCTCAGACCCTTGCCTATTCCCGATCAGCTAGGAGATTCGATGTCCATCGACTTCATGGACGCCGCCGTTAAGAGTAGGCATGGCAAGAGCCAAGTTATGATGATAGTCGATAGATTTAGCAAGTACGTTGTTTTTATACCTTTGCCTTCAGAGGCACGAACCGAGTTAGTGATCCGTAAGTTCTTTGATCATTGGGTCAGTGAGCACGGGGTCCCATTGTCCATAGTTAGTGATAGAGACACCCGGTTCACAAGTCAGAACTGGCAGGAGTTGATGAGAGTCTATGGCTCTAAGTTGCTGATGTCGTCTGACCGTCATCCCGAGACCAACGGTCAAACTGAACAAATGAATAAGATCCTGCAGCAAGTTCTGAGGATGTACATTAGACCAGATCAAGTTGACTGGGATGATATGCTCCCCAAAGTAGCCAGTGCTTACACCAATAGTGTGCACCTGTCTACGTGTCGCACTCCCAACGAGCTGCACAAGTCCTTTAGACCGCGCAAGCCGTTTGAGGGACTTCACCGGGATCAGATTCATAGGCTACCGCCCGGTACTAGGGAGTTTGCTATACATCACGAAAAGGAGCTAGCTACTGTTACAGAGAACCTCAGGAAAGCCCAGCATAGGATGATAGAGCAAGCCAACAAACATCGTCGCCCCTCACAGTTTCAAGTAGGCGACTTAGTTTGGGTTAAAGCTAAGGAGTTTGCTCCTGAGGAGAACATCTCGCAAAAGTTACTGCCCGCGTATCGAGGACCGTGGCCAGTTCTAGGTCAAAGTTGTTGCCATGCACAGTAAGTGACCAATTTCCATCTAGACGTTCCATGATCCCTCCAGACATGGATGGAAGGTACGACATTGACGGCATTGTAGGTGAAGACGTGTTTAGAACCAGAGGTCGAGGCCGTCCTCAGAAACAGTATAAAGTCAGATTTGCGTATCAAGAACCAGAAGACGACTGGTGGTTCACCAGAACTGAACTTCTAGAAACAGCTCCCGACATAGTCAGGGCCTACGAAAAAGACAGAAAGGGTAAAGGTCCTGCCGTGGACTGAAATATTCTCGGAGGACCTCGAATTTAGGCCGGCGGGAGTGAAACGGTATTCACCAGTTCGCAGTAGCTGATGCAGATCCCAGGGCTCGATCCCTAGTCCCCACCTTACCTGTGTACAGTACCTGTGTCAACCCGTAGAGTTGAACCTGCGACCTGTAGGACTGCCAGTGGTAGGTAGGTCATCGTAGGTTACAKGGTATAGGGGTTTCGAACTGTAGACCTRTCRGGTAGGAGTCTAGAGAGTCCAGAGGTCTTAGCTGTAGACTTTCCGAAGGGTCAAAGTCGTAGCTGGTACTTACCYGAAAGGGCCAAAGTCGTAGCTGCTACAGGACCGAAAGGCCAAGTAGATGCTTCTAGAAGTGGCCTTTCGGAGTCAGCTCACTGTAGGTCAAGGCAAGTGGGCAAGTGGTGGAAGTCCACCGTGCAGAGTCCGCAGTCCCAGTCCAGTTAGTCCGGTCCAGTGAAGCAAGTACCGCCTGGGACTGTGTGCACTGTGGGCCAGGGAAACAGGGCAGGCCGACRAGCCAYAGAAGTATAAATCAAGAGGYYRCGCACMRCCMTTCATTCATTYCTGCRGAAGCCATGCGGAAGCGCTGTCTCAGCGGCTTGTGCGAGGAGGTCTGCAGTGTGCCCGAAGTCGAAGTGGGCCAGAAGAGCTTAGCATAGCGATAGCGTAGAGGCAGCCATAGCTGCCATAGCTGTAGCTGGTGTGTGTGTGTCGTGTGAGTGTTCGGAGTGATGCGTGTGGGATATCCAGGGTGATCCGTGGTGTGTGAACAGTGAGTTGTTGGGCGCCGAGTCGCCATAGCCAGTGGAAGTGAACTCTTATCTGGGCGCCATATCTCTGAGTTCTGTGTGGGCGCATGTCGCCAGTTTGTTGCGATGCTGTGTACATGCATGAAAAGTGTGAATGAGACGAGTCTGATTGCAGAAGGGGCTCAAGGATTAAAAAAAAAAAAAAAAAAAAAAAAAAAAAAAAAAAGAGACTACCGAGGGAAAGCCAGGCAACTGATTACCACCGGCAAGTTAGAGGACCAGTACAAGGGCTCTGCTCCATGGGGGGCTTCGGTTAAAAGTTAAAAACTTTTCCACCAGTGCACTGCATGTTTTTTTTTTCTTCAGAAAACCATTTTTTTTGGAGAATTATGAATGACTTTTTTTTTTTTTTTTTTTTTAGTGCACTGCATTTTTTTTTTTTTTTTTTTTTTTTTTTTTTTTCCTAAACCAGCCAGAGATAGTGCTAGGGGTGCTGATAGGAGCAGGCACCGCTAGCACTGTGTGTTACTTTTCACTGTAACGCCATTTAACATGGATGTCATGTTTCGATGTATTCACTGTAACACCATCATGGCATATTTTCACTGTGGCGCCTGTTGACACGGAGGCCACATTTTCGATGCACGGGTTCAAAATGGAAAAAAATTGCTTCAGGCTCCATCACCAGTGCCTTTCCCAGTAATTTTGTTTCCACACGGCAGTTAAACCACCAATACTTCCGAGGCATTTTTTTCGACCCTGGGGATGGGGCCCCCGCGTACCGAAACACAAACTGGCACGGCCACTGATGAAAATCATCAACGGCCATGAAGGCCCGAAAGTTGCGGCGTATGTACAACACAAGGGCCCGCGCGATGTATGGGCCCAAGTACCAGTGCTTTAACATGGCACTTAAAGCACCAGTACAACACATATCGAAGGCCGCCGATTTTTTTTTTCACGGCCCTCCGAGTGTTTTGCTTGTGGCAACAAAAACTTTCTGCAAGTCTGGGGCCGCCATGTACTAGCGGTTTAACACACCAGTACTTGGCCCAGATATCGGCCGCGGGGCTTCCCCGTTAACGCGCCATGCCTTTAGGGCTTCGGCGTACCGGACCACAACGGCTGGAAGTGCTAGCCCAAAAAAAATTGAAACGGTACCCCGGCGCTTCGGCAAAAATTGGTGCGTAGGGGCATTCCAGGGGCAAGGTCCCACTTGCACGGATTAAGAGATTCTGGCCGTTGATCTTTGCTATCTACGGTCAATATTGCATAATTCGTGTAAGTGGGACCTAGCCCCAGTCTCGGCATCGGTAGCTGGGCCAAGTACTGGTGGTTTTTTTTTTGTTTTTTTTTTCTATATTCTTCTCTCTTTTTTTTTTTTTTTTTTTGGNTTTTTTTTTTTTTTTTTTTGGCTGGAAATCAGGTCCAGCATCCCTGTACAATTATGAGAGTGTGTCTGCTGGAAATGGGGTCCAGCGTCCCTGTACATGCGTCTGAAAGTATCAGCTGGAAACGGGTCCAGCGCCCCTATAGAGATCCACGAAAACCCTAACATGTATGTGTAATATTTGTGTGATATGTGTGATGATTTGTGATCTTGTGAATTTCACTGTCTAAACACGAAACCCTAACTATGATGTGCTGTGATGTGAATGGTCTTATCAGTCAAAACAATATGAGAGATATGATATGTATGTAAGCGGGGGCATTGATTACTTTCCCACGCAAGGGACGGATTGACCACCCGCAATGTATATCCTAACCAGCCCCCCTCAGCACTCCATTGTTGATTGGTATTGCGGGCTGGACAACACCAGTCAACATCAATTGGCAACACAATCAACAACGATCATCCCACTCCTATCCTCAACCAGACGACGCGGTTAAAAGGGGGAAGGGAGGGGGAGATGGCAAACCTCTTATCCACATCAATCCCAATCCCCTCCACTTCAGCATGCGGCATCACACCCATCGTGCTAAGGCTTTCAGCCCCGCCGCTGCCGTGGTCATCGCTGCCTCCGTCGTCAACACTACCAGCATCATCGCTGTTGTTGTTGATGTCATCCCCAACCCCGCTCTCAACCCTGCTGCTGCCGCTGTCGTGAATGTTATTGTTGTTGTTTTTGCTGCTGCCGTGATCGTTGCCGCCACCATCGTTGTCACTACCTGTTTTTGCCTTTCACTACCTACTTCTAAGGCTATCTAGAGGAGACCCCTGCAAGCATATTTTCCTCTCACTGTGAAGGGGAGATTTCATGTTGCCCCTTGCCCCTAATGTTTAGGGTATAGGGTTGGGGCCGCCAGTGGGGGTCTGGCTAACACAAAGACCGAGACCTGCCAGTAGATGCGCCTCCCTTTCTCATCGTCCACACCATGTTCTTCAGGGATCGGCCTACCGAAAGGAAAAGGCTGGTTGTGACAGGATAAAAAAGACACGATTGCAGGCTCTTGCGGGTTCTGCAGAACTTGGCAGGGGGGTGGAAATCATTGTCCGAAAATGAAGCTGGGACGCACTGGCGGTGGTTGAACATACACTTCACTTTAACCAGAACAGCCACAGGATATAATCATATAATCTCA